TTCCACCGAGTGAGGAGCGTTCAAATTCTATTTTTATCTTTGATGATGTGGCATGCGACAAGCAGGATGCGATGAGAGAATACTTTTCAATGGGTCGCCACGCGAACGTTGACTGCTTTTATCTCTGTCAGACGTACGCGAGGATACCTAAACATCTGATACGTGACAACGCGAACCTTCTGATTCTGTTCAAACAGGACGGTACCAACTTAAAACACGTTTACAACGATCATGTGAATACCGACATGTCGTACGACGAATTTTGCTCGTTGTGCCACGCTTATGGTAACAAAAATTTGGATCCATAGTGATAGACAAAGACAATGCGCTCATAAACAGACGATATAGAAAAGGATTTAATGAGTTCGCGATATCGTAACGCGACCAGTCGTTGTCGATACTTAGTCACAGACGAACATGGCAGATGTGCGCGAGCGTGAAAAAATCGCGAGAACGATCGAGAAGACGAGCGAGTCGATCCGCAAGAAACATCGTGCTCTGAAGACCGGTAGAATCGAGGAAGGCATCGCGTTGGACAGACATTTTAAGCCTCTTATCGAGCCGCTGCGATTTTTCACCGACAGCCCCAGCGTGCGCGCGACAAAGAGAGAGTCGCGCGACGAAGATACAGCGTCTGCCCATAAACGAGAGGAAGAAGGAAGAAGAACAAGAGGAGAGAGAAGAAGCGAGCGAGACGTTTGAGTGTTCCACGACTGCATAAATCCAATGATCGATCGCACGATGATGTACAACCAATAACCTCCACCCCGCGTGCCAAAATCGTATCGACGATAGATTCGTTGGAGAACGTTTTCGAAACGATGGTAAACTCGCTAGCGACAAAGGTTCAAAATCAGCTGCAAACGTCGGAAGGTCGAGAGGCGTTACGAGCTGGCTTGGGCCCGCTGGGTCAAAAGTTCGTCGAGGCTGTCTTGAGAGGAGCGCAAGATAAAAAGAGCGGTATAGATCGCGTGTAAGACGTTAACCTACACAAGGATGAGTTGATGTTTGGCAATAAACGTTTCGACGTGGATGACGCGGACAACATAATTATCGACGGCGTACGCTGGTACACTCGGTCTTTACGAGTTGATTTTCAAGAGAATTTCCGACGGTGTCCTCTACACGGAAGACAATACGCACAAGTACAAGAGCATGCTGTTGGTGACGAACGCGCACAAACAGAAGTACCATTGAGCAACAGAGGATACAAATACAAACATGTAATCGCGCCGTTAATGTCGGTCATACCCAAGAAACAGAAGAAAGGGATTACATCATGCAACGACATTGAACGACAACGCGATCGATTACGTGCATTGAGATGATCCCAACGAGCTGATGGATCGCCTACGATTGCTCGATTCTTCGCACCGAGCAGGCAACAACTCTCACGACAACAAAATACTGTCGATCATCGAGGAACTTCGCGAAGCCGGTCTTATTATAAATTAAATCGCGGGTTCATAAAACGAGTTAGTCGAATGACACCAACGAGAAAAATACATTAATTTCTTGTACTCTGTGTATTACGTCGAATCATAAAAAAGAAATCCGATGAAAAGAGAGAAAAAATTAGCTCCGAGAGATGTCGGCTCGTCGAGGAATTGCACGCTCCGGCGAGAAGAAATTTTCCGCGTAGGCGCGTCATAGTCCGGGAGTACGACGATCTGTGGCAAGCTAATATCGTTGAGATGTGTCCGTACTCGAGCTTCAACAGAGGCTATCACATATATACTCACCGTCATGTGTTGAGCAAGTACGCGTGGACAGTACCGCTCAAGAGCAAGGGTGGAAGCGAGACGGCTGACGCTATCGCTGAGATCGTTCGAGAGAGCGAAAGATGTCTGAAAAATTTACAAACCTATATGGGGAAGGAATTTTACAACTCCAATGTACAGAATATCTTGAAAAAACACAACGTTAATCACTATTCCACGTACTCGACGTTGAAAGCGTCAGTGGTCGAGCGGTTCAATCGCATGCTCAAAAATGATATGTAGAAGATGTTTACACTCAACGGCAATTACAAGTGGGTCGACGAGCTGTCGCGTCTTGTGTCAGATTACAACGCACGCAAGCATCGCACCATCGGCATGCGACCCGCTGACGTAACTTCTGCAATTGCCGAAAGACTCTTGGACACAGTGTATAGCGCGATAAAGATAGCGGGTCCTGCAAAATTCAAAGTAGGCGATTCGGTACGCGTGAGCAAGTACAAGATGATTTTTGAGAAGGGTTACACACCAAATTGGACCACCGAAGTGTTTACGATCGTTAAGGTGCAGCGTATCAATCCCGTAACCTATCTACTCAAGGACTATCGTGGAAAATCCGTCGCTGGAGCGTTCTACGAGCACGAGTTGCATCGCGCTACTCATTCAGACATGTATCTCGTGGAGAAAGTGTTGCGCAGGAAGGGCGACGAAATGTACGTCAAGTGGCTGGGATTCGATGGATCGCACAATTCATGGATACGCAAAAACAATGTTATTTGAAAATTTTAATTGATATATTTTGTATACATATAACAATATAAGAATATAAACATGTAAAATATTTTTTATTATCCTTTCCATTTTTAGAATATACAGATATAAAATACGTATATAAATATACGATACATGAAATGAAAAATAATAGTAATACATAATAAATGACAGTACATAAAACATAATAGTAATACTTATATAAGACGTAAAAACATAATGTGTAAATCATATTGATAATAGTTCATAATAGTAACAAGTATGTAGATTGTATGAGAATATTTAAAAAAATGTAAAAAGACATACACGAAGTACAAATTAAGATAATACATAAAGCATAATAGTAGTAATACATATACACTGTATAAAAATATAAAAAATATAAAAACATAATAGTAATATAAATGTTGATATGTACATTACAAAGGTATCCACTAATGTCCCCACGGTAACCCATGGTTACCCACGGTAACGTCTCCGTCGAATCCGATACGACGTATCGTTTGTCGTCATATGGATTCAGAGTGATTTTCGATTCGGATATCGTGTATATCTCGTGCAGTTTCGATCGTATACACGATTGACCACGAGTCGATCTCTTCGTTCAAACATCGAGTGTAATCGTCGAACGTTATCGTTTGCGCTACGATGTTATTCTTTACTCCTTTCACCTTTTTGGTGTCCTTCTTGCCGTCCACCCTCACAGCGTACATTTTCGCTCTGAGACCAACGAATTCGGTCATTATCGCACCGTTATTTTCGTTCTTTATCAGACCGGGTACTTTTTTGTTCGCGAGAGGCATACCGTACGCGTTGTCCGTCGGATAATCGCTCGTGTCGAATCTAGCGATATCGCGTTTCATAGTCTCGTAAACGTCCTCGCACTCAACGCGGTATATAAGGCTGTCCGTATCGGTGTACATTATTTTACATTTGTCGCGAAACAATAGTAACATATATTCGTGGTGAAATTCGTACAAGCAGACTTTCGATATGTCAAGTATACACATACCCACATAAATCGGCTTGTTGAACTTCACCTCGATTTTGCGCAGTTCGACGGCTATTAAATTTTCCGTAAAGACGCTACGGCTGTGGAAATTTGGTTTTGCAATCATTGCCTCCGCGCTGCATCGTCCGTCCCATTTTGTTAATAATTTTACGTCGACGTTGCGCACATTCTCCATAGTTTTACCAAATACCGCGTTGTTCATTAATTTATACAAATTTTTTTCGAAATCGTTTTTTACGCGCGTTCTGAAATTTATATTCAATGTAATCACGGAGCCATGGAGATTGCGCGAATTGTAGCACCCGATGGATCTTTGTTACGCGAAGACCGTGACGAGTACATTGCTGCAAGTTGCGGTAGTGGATGACGTAACGCTGTTTATCATACAGCGTCGCTAAAAGTTTATATTCGCGCTTACCGGGCGGCTTATCGCACGTCGGACAGAACGGTAGGTCAATGCATCGGTCGTGTATATGCTGCGGATACTCATGATCGACTTCGAGAATGTAACCAGTGGGCGAATCCAGAGCGATCGCGCTCGCGTCAAAGTTCGCAGAGTCTTTGATCCATTGAAATTTGGCAATGGTTGACACATCGCCCACCCGTATAAATTGTTAACGTCGTAGTATAATACATCAAGTACGACGGTTCCGATGGGTCGTACGAATGCATGTACTTGTTATTAGCCTGCGCGTATCTACCTGAACATTGACTGAGACCACCGCGTATACCGCGCTCGATGAACATGATCATGCCAATATCAGTAAGCAACTCAAACTTTACACGCGTATGTTTTAACATCGCGTCCCACGTGAAACCAGGCAAGGTGTAATAATGTGCGGGATCGAGATCGTAACTCGCAACACAACTTTTGCGGAAATTTTCGAAAATGTCAGCTAATAACAAGATATCGGTTTTCAAGTACAGATCACTGTACTCGCCGAGCGTTCGGATGGAGAATCATTGCCATACGTTCGCGGCGTGAGCGTAATCGCTCTCGGATACGGTATCGCCTGTTAACGAACTGTAAAAAGATTCGCGCGGTGGTAAGCGCGTGTCCTGCAATTTTTCGACACAGTCAATGTACTCGTACGGAAAGACACCTTTACGAATCAGTAATTCAAATTCATCATCCGGTAGTGTTGAAAATTTTGAACGTATAATTTTTAATTTGTCATAAATAAACCAAAAAAATAAACGGAAAGCACACACCTGCTATTCGACTGCACTGCGCAACGTCCAGTGCGTTGCGTTCCGTTTAAGCGGGCGGTCACGTCGTGACCGACGCCGACATGTCCGGCTCCTGTGTGTGCAGTCTTACCGGCGTGTTACGGTTTACACCTGTTTCACTTTTGCATGTTCGGCGGATCATATTGATTTGTTCAAGTTTGCTGCGATACTGGACATCTTGACTGCTCAATCGCACGTATTTTCGAGATCCATCCGAATTTTACTTTTTTAATTTTATGTTGATTGTGACATGAATTATTTATTTATTTTTATTTATTGTTGATGAATGAGACGCGCTCCTTGTTGCAGTGGTTCCCAAATTCGAGCCATCTGTCGTCCGCGCTCGGCAGTCGAATAGCGCAATCGTTGATCTTCTGGCAGTCCATTGTGTGCGACTGCAATTTCTCATTCGTGTCGAAATAATGCAAGCATCTGAAAAAAAAAACAAAATATTATAACAGTTACAATTATTTTATTAACAAGACGGGAAATTGTAATAATTTTTTTTCATATATACTTACCGGTCGCAGAAATATTTCTTGTTATTATTCCCGGTAATTTGTGATCTCACGAGACGCGACAGGTTCTTGATCCACGCAAAGTGGCCAACACCGTCGTCGCGTGAATCTTGCATGTAGAGGAGATTGACATGCTTGTCCTTCTTGTCACTGGTGAGCCGCAGAGGAAGGACTTGTTTATTCTCGATGCCGTATACATTGATTGACACCGCGTTCAACCGTTCGAATTTATTAATGTCTTTGAACGTTATTGAAAATTCGATACCCGCGAGATTCAGCACCGTCATATAATGCGATGACTCTCAATTTACATTTCTTTCAGCCGGGTACAGAGCGGCGACCATCGATCACGCAAAGCACGCATTGTCCATCGTACTAACATTGATCACCGCTCGTTTCGTCGCTATTTCTCACGGCACTTCGAAGTAACATCCCTCGAGCATGGGATTTAGTTTGTTCACATTGATAGTCAAATTGAGGATTCACGACAATGCCCATCCGCTGTCGCGTTCCTGGAACTCTTCGAGTGATGTCAACGTGGGCTCGATGATATGCTGCTCGTACCACTTGCGCAAATCAGTATATCGGTATATCTCGCGGTTCTTAATGTTTATACTCTTAATGTCACGTTTGTTTATCGCAAACTCGCCGTTGAACGCGGTGTTCACTTTTGCATTACTGTGTCTTTCTACGGCGTCTCACACACGTTCGAGCACTATTTCTCTCGCGTCTTCCAAAAACGGCCGCGGCTCGATGTAATCGATGTTGACCACAGCACCTGTCAATATACGGTTTTCAAACGCGGCGTCGATCTCTCGCCAGACGAGAGATCTTTCGTCGCGATTTGCATACCCGCCACCAACGTGCACGAAACGTCACTTTAATCGTGTCTTTGCACCCGCGAGTCGCGCGATCCTCGCTACCATGGATTGTCTGTGTCCAACGGCGAGGCGCGGACGCTTGGCATGGCAAAGTTCTTCGAGCCACCCGTTAAAGCACCACCCGTTGTATAGTAGCATTGGATCATGCAGTGTTTAGTATGACCGTTCAGTGCGCGGATTTGTGGATACGGCACAAATTTTTCTGCGTGATCCGTATCATACTCACTCAAGTTGCTAGCACAACCAGTATCATCGGATAGCACTTCTTCGTCGGAATCTTGGTCCATTATTTCTTCAAAATCTACATTCATTTCTTCTAACACTTCGAACACTTCGTCTCTGATATTCGCGAATTAATATTCCGGATCCACGTTTCTAATGTGCTCGACTACGTTGGCTATGTCCTCAACTTTTGCACGATGATCAACCATACTTTTTTTCCACTATTCTTATTGCGACCAATTCGTTCGTTTTCCAGGACACTAATTGCGGAACTGAGCGCTTATAACTCATTATATATTTATGACTTCTTTGTCCCCCTGCCTTTTGGATCATACTTTATTTAGAAGTAGATAAAACAGTATCGCGAGCGGTTCTAATTTATATTTTTTACATCTCATTGGTATGTTTATATAGGGTGCGGCAGAGAAACTTACTTTTTTTAAAGGTTAATAAAAACGAAACTATTGCAGATATCGGTATAATTCTTTTTTCCTCTTACAGATCACCTCATCAAATTTTTTTTCATGCACTTTTGAAAATTACATCTATCAAATGACGGCCGCCGTTGTCTATGCACTGATTGAGTCGATTTCTGAAGTTTTGCGTCACTCTCTGAAGCATGTCCACCGGTATTTCGGCGATGGCGTTCCGAATGTTTGTCTTCAGGTGAGCTAGGGTCTCTGGTCGATCGTTGTAAACAATAGACTTTAAATAACCCCATAGGAATAATGAAGCGCGCTCGAAAGGCACGTTGAGTGGCGACAATGGAGCGGCCATTACCAAAGTATGCCTCGACGGCAAACGCGCGATGCTCTCTTGTCCAAAGCATGATCGAGACTGGCTGTGGGGGGAACAAAAATTGAGGACCTATCCTTTCGGACGCACCCCCTCCCAGCTTCCTACCTTCACCTCTTGCCGTTTGGCGCGTTTTTCAAAAAAGTAAGTTTCTCTGCCGCACCCTGTATCTATCGAAATGGAAAGGACTCTATAAACAACGTTGGAACATTCAAAACCGCCTTCTGAATCATCACAAGAGTAATTCTATTAGCGTTGGACCGCTGACTGTGCGATTCAGTACGATTGAAAATGTTAAAATTGTATGCTTGGAATTATCCGACGTACGTTTAATGATGCCTGAATCAATAATATTGTTTATGTTCAACTTAAATCAATGTATTGAGCATTGTATTCGATCAATTGGTTGATATCGTTGAGTCGATACAAAATTTACACGATTCTTGAATATCGCATCCACTGCAAGGGATGCTAAAGATGTATCAAATGTAATATGCGCTAATGATTACTTTGATAAAAATCAACTCCTCGACTGCGAACTGTTAGCTGTAGTTTTTTGTGCGTAAGAAAAAATTATGTAAAAGAAAAACAAATTATGTAAAAGAAATATAAATAAAAAAAATTTTAATCTAAAATTATGGCATAATTTCTTCACACACATATAAAATAGGGAGTTTGTGTCTCTTCTCTCTTTTTTTTTTTTAACAGAAGGGATCTTTTTATGACTATACATTTGTATAAAAAAAGAAAAATTATTGAATAGAAAATAGCTATAATACAATCAAAAATAATATAGAATCACCGTAATAGATCAGGTACATGGAAGGATAAAAGAAACAAACATGGATTAAAAAATATAAAAATTTATTATTATTACATTAATTTATACAGTTATAGTTTCCACATTTAGATTTTTTTTTTTGTATTTACTGAACTGATCGTATTTAAATAGGATAACAAGGTCTTGCACGTTAGCAGCGCTTTCTGGAAAAAGAGAACGAAAAAACCTTTTGCTGTTTCAACTATTTGCTTTTTCAGCAGAGAATAAAATGTATTAGCACTAATCACTCCAAATGCGATACCTTATGGCTTATATTTCGATGACATTGATGACATTGCTGATGAGAAACATGTTGACGATTTTGATGCTTTTTCACCTGGACATTCCTAATATCTCGCTTTTTCCCTCGATGGTGGACCTGGCGACAAGGGACGGTACACCTTGCGCTCAATCGATTTTCGACGTATATATTCTTTTACTCGATCCATGTCTTATCACTCGTAATCGAAATTTACGATTGAAAGAAAAAAAGTTATATACACTATTTATATACACTATCAGATCGATGCCACATCGCGTCGCGTTAAGAAAAGTGTCGATGATCAGCTGTTAAATAAAACATAGTTCTTCTACAGTAAAATGAAAGTGATACTCCAATGAAAAGTATGAAATCCCACAATCCTTAAATTTCTTCGAAGAAGTGCCGATAACGATTTTTTCTGAGAAGAGATAACGAGAGAGATTGATGACATGTAGCGACACGTTAAGAGAAGCGTTGATGCTATTTATACATATTAATTCGTTTCCACGATTATCTCCTATCGCAATCTCTATGTAGCTCGGTGGGCCAACGTTGATACCAATTTCTAGGAATTTATATCCCGTATGTGGCAATGCGTATTTCCTGCCTAGTATAACGTACGAATCGCACGATGCATGGACGCGCTATAAAAAATATAAAAATATTAAATAATTAATTAAATAGTTAATTTTAGAAAGTATAAAGTGGGAAATTCCTAAACTTACTTGGCACATCTTTTCGTAAATGATGGAGTTTCATCATAATTCTGAAGTGGAACGTAATAATTTTTTTTGTGCGTGATGCTTCCTACAGCGGAGTACATTGCTACTGTTGCTGCAGGTGCTGCTGTTGTACTTTTCGTACAAGCGACTAAAGCAATACTGAACGTGTAAAGATTGCGCACAGCTCTAACCAAAAAATAAATTGCGAAGAAGGGAATTTTTGGAGAGGATAGAGTAACAAGGGGTGATGGGTGGCGCGCGGTGGTGGCGATGGCGGCGGTAGCTGCAGTGACGACGGCGATGGCGGCAGCGGCGAATAATGAAAAAAAAAAGGAATGCATTGTTTATGTAATCAATCGACTGAGGTCCTATGACAGCGATGCCGCTGAGGACTTTCTCACGCCTTCTCCCCTCCCGCGCCTTCCTTCGCGCCAACGAGTACCTCCCGCGCCTTCCCCCTCGCGCCAACGAGTACCCCCGCGCCTCGCACTCCCCTTAGAGGATCTGAGTTAGAACCCCCATATTAATATTACTTATAATAAAAAAAGCAATTTTGTTGTACTCAAATGTACAATTATTAGTGATACATGTACTTATATAATGCAGTATTAGAATATTGTATGTATTTGTATTTTGATGTGTGAATATACACACGTTAGAGACAGAATTTATGCTGAGATATTTATGATAGAGATAGATTCCCTATGTTTATTTATATGCAATATTAAAATGATATGTACATTATATGTACATTTAATTTTAATATTATGTGCAATATTATGTAATTATATATACATTTAATTTTAATATTATGTACAATATTATGTAATTATATGTGAGGACAAGTCAGTAAGTTTTTAGTAAAACACATTTTTTTATCGATTCATTTTTATTTCTCAACATAGTCTCCTTTCAACTCGATACACTTGATCCAACGATTCTTCAATTTTTTCAAGCCGTCCGAATAATATGATTTGTCCACCCTTCAAAATAAGCCTCCGTTTCGGCGATGAGCTGCTCACTGGTGGTGAATCTCTTTCCTCCGATCATTTCTTCAGGTTTGGAAACAGGAAATAGTCGCAGGGAGATAAATCTGGCGAATATGGTGGATGGAGAAGCAATTCGTAGCGGAATTCGTTGAATTTGGCCATCGGTGCCGGGCACGTGTGAATCCGTGCATAGTCATGATGGAAGAGCACTTTTTTCTTCGCCAAATGGGGACGTTTTTTTCTTTAAAATGTTGTTGAAACGATCCAATAAGGCTGCGTAGTAATCGCCATTGATCGTTTGCTTTAACGGAAGGTAATCGATACGAATTATACCGCGTGCATGCCAAAAAACTGTGGCCATCACCTTTCCGGCCCACTTCACCTTCTTCGGAGCTGGTTCACCCGGTGAAGTCCATTGTTTTGATTGTTCCTTCGTCTCGGGCGTGAAATAATAGATCTATGTTTTGTTCACAGTAATGAATCGACGCAGAAATTCATCTGAATTATGTTGAAAACATCTCCAAGCATTGTTTTGAAATCGTCATACGGTCGCGCTTATGGTCCACAGTGAGCAAATGCGGCACCCATCTTGCCGA